CTTGCCTGGCGAAAATGATTTTTTTTTAAATACACTCAATCTTCAAGTTTACATGGCAAATTATCAATTGAAACGGGAAAGCAATTTCCAAAGAGCGCCACATTTTTTTCAATGAGACTGAGTATAAATTAAGGGCCAACCAAATTGAAGGTGATGTCAAAATGTGGAGAAAATAAGTAAAATTAATGGAGTCCACTCAGACTGGAACGCCGAACTCCAATCTATAGTTGAATATTAGTTGTTGTTGGTTGTTGTTTTCTTACGTGCTGAGAACATTTTTAGCTCTAAAAACTGCCACAAACCACTATTTTGTGATTTAGCATTGGGAGACCCCACCTTTATTTTTAGGCAGGGGGAGTACCCTCTGCACCCCTCCTTTTTTTAATGCTACTTCGGTTTTGTTTCCGATTGTGTACATAATGTATAAATGTCTATGGAGTTAGGCCGGGACCACTTCTCCCGAAGAGTCCCAAAATATTGTCGCGGTCGAAAAGATCAATATGGATAACAGGTAATATTTTTAGAGCTTATTCATGCCCAGCACTTTGACATATAAGCATTTGTATTGACAATCCAGCTTACAGCTGCGCTTTCAAATGGCATCCGGGTTCAAACAAAATATAACCTCTAGTGTGTAGTACTGAGCAGGGAAATAATGATCTTGCCATTGACAAAAAGAAAAATGCGGCCTCTCGCGTCACACATCCTTTGTACTGTTGCCAAATTGTGAGGCTCCGCTCTGAACAGAAATTCGTGACCTGACAATCCGCGTCGTGATCAGACCAGCAAACAGGATGTAAAATAGCGAATCGCAATTGAAAAGGTACACTTTATCATGATCCCTAAATCAATATTCTTTGGGGAGAGCACTTTAACCCTTGGGCCAGCTGCTCGTTTAATAAAAAAAAGTTTACTAAGGAGGATTTGTCTCTGTATAGGGAACCTCTCAAGATTAGAACTTCTTTGTTTGCAAAAGAACTTCCTCACACAATGGCGTTTGGCGACTGGCGTGAGAATAATTAGGGCCTTGGCCTTTGAGTTTGAGAGAAATCTGTCCAATACGAAATTAATGATTGTCCTCTTGCACTGTATAATGTATAATATTATTATTTACTTAAAATTTCAAAGCAGGTGCCTCTGCTCACACTAAATTTAAGCTATTCACTTATAACTTTATTCATCGATAAATTGTTTTATTTTTATTTTTATTAT